TAGGGAGTGTATGCGGTTGGAGCAAGGAGTGTATGCGGCATCCAGATCGTTGTTCATCAATGGAGAATTTGGTGTTTGTTGAAGAAGCTAAGAAGAAATTGCAAACAATTCAAAAGGCTTATTCTGGTAGTTTTCTCGTTGTCAATTTGTTTATTATTTTGTATGGAACAAATGATTAGTGGATATTGGAGATCCTCTATGATTTTTGTTCCTACATTTTTAAGTGTTGTTTTATGTTTATGATTAAGCTTTTTTTGTGTGGGTAAACAGTTCTGTTTGACTCAACAAGATGTTCATTTATGATGTTGGAGCTTATAATAGTGATGATGATGACGACCAAAACGTAAAGTCCATTGTTCATCATACAAATTTTCACTTTCTACTTTTTGTGCATTGCATTTTAGGAAAGTGATACGACTTGCTTTCTTCCCTCTATGGTCATTGAACTTTTGACTCATGTAGTGATGGATCTTGTTGTTATGCAGGGAATGGGAGTTTTCTTGAATGAAATGACGACAATGGTGAACCAATCCAAACCTAGTGTAAGCAGAGCCTTGCATTAGCTAGGGGACAGTTTTGAACAACCACAAGATCAATATAACGATATGTTTCAAAGAGACGCAGCAGCGTTCCCATCGTCTTGCTCTACTTCAACATTCACTTAGTCTTGTAGATGGGGAAAGAAGGAGGGCAAGAACTACTTTCGTGTGTTGGTTCAGGCTTCTTTGTTGCCATTAAACAAGATTATTTGTGAATCATAAATAAGTCAAAGTTATGTATATGACCGAACACGTTCTCTTTGCGTTCAATTTTTTTGAATTCATCTATAGGTTGGTTATCATCTTCAATTTCTTTGTATCTAAACAAGATTTGAATATTTTCTACTTTTAAGAAAGAACAATAAAAGAAAGAAGACATAACAAGAGAAAAAAGTAAATACATACCATAAGATTGTCCAGACAAAACACATACTTGTGTTAGAGTTACAAATGGAACACCGTAATTTTGAGATCTTTTTACATGTTCAAAAGTCAGTCCTATACTTTCATATATTCTTATATCGAAGAATTTGGTGTAAGAGAGGTAGTATTTTGAGAGAGAAAAAAATTCTGTAAAAGATTCTAAGTTATTTATCTAAAGACAGACTTGATACGCAGTCTACTTGTAGACTTCATACGAAGTCTGTAAAAATGAGTTAAAGGATAGTTAAAGAAGAAAATTGATTTATCCAATAAATGCTACGAATGAACATGTAAAACTCATAAGGATGAAACAATAATAATTAACACACATTTGAGATCAAGAAAATATGAAAAAATTATTATAAATAATTTTTAAATACATTTTTAATAAAATAAAAACTACAGACGTCAAGTGCAATCTACTCGTAGATTTCATTAAGAAATCCACCTCAATAAGCTAAGTAATACTCAAATAAGTAAATTGTTTTATACAATAAATATTGCACCTAAATATGTCAAATTCCCACAGAAGGAAACACATTAGATAACACACATGTGGAATCAAGAAAATCTAAAATATTCATTATAAATAAGTTATAAATGGATTTCTAAGAAAATTAAAATTACAGACTTCTTGTGAAGTCTGCTAGAAAGAGCGAAAGACTAATTAATCATGAAAATTAGTTGGATTATAATAGAAGATGTGAAACTCGGCCATACGGAAGAACAATAATTAACACACATTTTAGATGAAGAAAATCTGAAAAATTCATTATACATAATTTTAAATTAATTTTTTAATTAAAAACTACAATTCAGACTACAAATGCAGTCTACTAGTAGACTTCAGTCAGACGTCTACCAACAACAGCTAAGTACTACTCAAACAAAAAAATTGATTTATACAATAAATATTGCACCTAAATAAGTCAAATTCACACATAAGGAAACACATTAGATAATACCCATGTGGGAGCAAGAAAATCAAAAAAAATCATTATAAATAAGTTTTAAATGTATTTCTAAGAAAATTAAATCTGCAGACTTCACAAGCAGACTTCTACAGTAGACTCGCGTCGGCTGTCTATTAGTAGGCTGCAGATGAAGTCTACACAATGGATTATTTTTGCAATTACAGCAAACGCTAGCAGACTCTATTAGAAGTATATTGGGTTATTTTTACATTTGACCAGAGTTTAACTTTTTTCAACAAACTTCTCTATGAAATCTGTGAAATAAAAATGTTATTTTTGCAATTGACCAGAGTTTGACTTTTCCAATAGACTTCTATTGTAGTCTACTAAATACGCGGAAAACCGTCGATATCCAGTAGACTCTATCAGAAGTCTGCTGAAATGAGTAGACTGCAGATAGAGTCTGCTCTAAAAGGAGGGGTTAGATTTGTAATTGACCAAATTGTTGACTTTGCCAGTAGACTCCATCTGAAGTCTACTCTGGAACGAGGTTAGTTTTGTGTTTGACCAAATATCGAATTAATTTATTAGTAGACTTCTTCAGAAGTCTGCTAATTAATTGAATTAATAAGTCTGCCGATAAATGTTTTTCCTGGTCAATGATTGAGATTTTGGTCAAACGCAAAACTAACCCGTCCGTACAAAACAGATTTGAGATTGCGTCTGCTCAAAAAGTCAACAATCTGGTCAATGCCAGAAATAACCTTGGAGCAGACTCTAACTGCAGTCTCCAGTCAGCGTCTCCACCAGAAGTCTGCTCTATAAAGTCAAAGTTCTGGTCAATTGCAAAACTAACCCATTTTCAAGTAGACTTCACATGAAGTCTACGAGTGTTTTTTTTTGTATCAAAGGAGAACAAGCAGACTTCACGAGCAGGCTGCTATGAATATTTTTTAAAATAGTCAATTGCAAATTTCGTTGACTAGCAGACTTCTTATGCAGTCTACTATCGCGAACCAGATCGAAAAACACGGTTTTCAGCTCCGTTTCTGCCGTAGAGCTCGGTTTTCAGCTCTTTCAAGCACCTGAAACTTTTCATCTGACCGTTAACAAAGAAGCCCAGCCGTCGTTTATGCAAAAACCATTGAAATCGATAGATTAGGAGAGAAAAAATTTTGAAACCATATTTAGATAGTTTTTTGGATGAAATTGGAGAGGAAATGAGTGAGGAAGAAGTTATGAGCTCACATATGAAACTCTTATCCACGAAAAATCAATTGATGAAGCATTTAGAGCTTGATTTTGGTTGTTCATGGTGGTTGAAAATATTGATGATGATGGTATTTTCTTAAATAAGTTGATATATTTGGGTGCTTGTTTGGCTATTTAGAATGTCTGGTTTAAAAAAAAAATTCAAATATAATGGCATTTCCGTAAATAAGTTGAATCCTATGGTTGGTTTGATAAAATTTTGGTGAGAGAGAAAATGAAGTTTAAAATTGTAATTGACCCCAAATTTTGGGTCAATTCAATAAGCTTCCCATAGTTTTTTGAGGTATTTTGTAAAGTGGCATTTGAAATTTAAAAATGTCATTTTTAAAAATCTTTGCAAAAATACCATTTTTCAAAATTATTTATTTATTCTATCATTTATGTTTGGATTAACTATGTTGTATTATGGTTTAGTTTTGAGAGTTTAGAAGGTTTTAGGGGTCAATACATTTTTTAGGGTTCAAAATTTTAAGATTTAGGCTCTAAAAATTCATAAATAGTGGCATTTTGCAAACGAACACACCAAAAATGGCATTTTTGAAATTGTCCCTACTTTTTTGATTAGTACAATTTCCTTAAGACTTTAAAATTATGCTTCCATAGTAAAATCATTTTTTGCCCCCATTCCTTTTTGAACAACAAATCTTACCAAAAAATTAAAACTTGTTTCCAAATGTTTAATGACTAGCGGAGAAAGTAA